TAATATCCGATTGACTTTAAATTTATACACAGTGTTTAAGGTCATGAGATGAAGAAGCCTATTGATTTTCAGCGATTTCTGATAATTACTGCCAGAGTTGTGGCCCTTGATCACCTCAAAAAATCTTGTGGATGCTCTAGAGGTCAAAGTTAATATCCAATTAACTTTAAATTTATACACAGTGTTTAAGGTCATGAGACAAAGAAGCCTATTGATTTTCAGCGATTTCCAATAATTACTGCCAGAGTTAAGGCCCTTGATCACTTTGAAAAATCTTATTGACGCTCTAGAGGCTAAAGTTAATATCCGTTTAAATTTAAATTTATGCACAGTGTTTAAGGTCATGAGACGAAGAAGCCTATTGATTTTCAGCGATTTCCTATAATTACTGCCAGAGTTATGGCCCTTGATCACTTTGAAAAATCTTGTGGACGCTCTAGAGGTCAAAGTTAATATCCGATTGACTTTAAATTTATACACAGTGTTTAAGGTCATGAGACGAAGACGTCTATTCATTTTCAGCGATTTTCAATAATTACTTCAAGAGTTATGGCCCTTGATCACTTCAAAAATCTTGTGGACGCTCTAGAGGCCAAAGTTGATATCCGATTGACTTTAAATTTATACGCAGTGTTTAAGGTCATAAGACGAAGAAGCGTATTGATTTTCAGCAATTTCCGATAATTACTGCCCGTGATCACTTCAAAAAATCTTGTGGATGCTCTTGAGGCTAAAGTTAATATCCGATTGACTTTAAATTTATACACAGTGTTTGAGGTCATGAGACAAAGAATCCTATTGATTTTCAACGATTTCCAATAATTACTGCCAAACTTATTGCCCTTGACCACTTTGAAAAAACTTGTGACATTCTAGAGGCTAAAGTTATCATCCGATTGACTTCAGATTGATAATTACTTCACGAGTTGTTACTCTTAATCAGATTTTATAATTTATAAATGTTTCATTACCAAAAAAAGTAAAACATATGCGACAATACTTGTTGACTGCCCAGATGATTTAGCTGCTGTGGGTGTATGTTTTGTTGCCTGGCAACCTATCTTTTTTTTTCTTCTCGATGTTCCATCTTTGTGAATACCAAAATGTTCAGATGAATTTATTAAATCAGCATACATCTTTTTCACCAAGTAGTGGCCTTCATCAGAAACATTAAGAACAGTTTGTCTTTGGGGTAAATTACTTTTTTCTATTGGTCTGTGGACAATATGTTTAGGACACTTTCAATAACTCCGGGAATTTTATCACATAGCCACTTCGTACGACAAGAGCTCAAGAATGCATCGTCGGGAATCATTTGAAAATATCCCCTGTTCAGTCAACGTAAATGGAGGTACATGTACTTCACTCTCCTCCAAATCATAACGGGTGTTGATTGATGTGATTTCTTGTTCGAGCTTGTTTAACCTCTTCTCTTGACTTTCGTTTGATAGAACTCTTTTGTATTTTCTCTTCCAAAATACGCAATTGGTTTGTAATTTTCTGTTTTTTACTTGTAAAGATCTTATTTCTTTTTGTAAATTCAATACTTGTTTTTTGAGTTTCTTGAGTTTGTCATTTTTTTCTTTCTTCCCTGTCATTTACATTTCTTGGTCTATACTTGATTTTTAGGTCGACAAAAGATTTCTTCAATTTTGCAGATTTGTTATTAAGTCTTGATATGTATTTCTTCTTTTTTGTAATTTCACTATCTAAGTTATTGACTATAGAAAAGTATTTTCCTCTGCACCAGTACCAATATCTTCAGTTACCAAATTTAATGAAGAGAAACAAAATTTAGAGTTATCTAAGTTGATCCTTTCTGCATCTTTTCGTCTATGTCTCAAATTATCTCGCTTACTGTGCAGATCTTCAATAAACTTCTAAATTTCACTTGGGTGTACATTGTTGGGTATGTTGGCTAACTTTTTTATCCAACCTGTCCAAAGTTGTTAGTTGTATGACTTTTTTATCCTTTCCTTCTCACAAACCTCTCTATTAGTTAGATCAGGAACTGCAGGAAACTCACAACTTTCTAAATTTATTAAAGTAATGCCAACAGCATCAGCAAAACTTCCTATGTAATCTTTGGGTTTTTTCCTTTTTAATTTCACCATCTGTGTAAAGGAAAAATATTGATTAACTTAGTTAAATAATTATATTTTTTAGTAGAATTTATTATCTAACTAGTTAAGTAAGATAATTTTCTGTTAAATGAAGGCTAGGCCTAGTTCATGAGAAAAAAATTTTAAATTATTTTTAAAAGGTAGGCCTAAGCCCAAGTGGCCTAAGGTCGCGTACATAATAAACTACATTTGCAAGTTTTTGATAATATAATTTTTTAAAATTCCTTCTTCCATGACCATCAATGTTTTACTTAAGTTACAATATTGGTTACAGTTACAAATATTTGCAGAAAATGAAAGCGAATAATATGTAAACAAACAATAAGTTCAATAACAACATATGTAACAACAACGCATTTGACGTTATCGAATCGATGTTATTTCTTTGCCGTAAACACATCTTCAACTCGTTCGTTCTACAACCATCAACAATTTTATAAAACTTTACCAATTTCTACTTATAGTATAGATAATTTAATTGTCGTTTTAATGATGTATTTCATGATGGGTATAAATTGCATTTTGTATCTAAAACTCGAAAGAATAGCGGGCTGCTCAATAAAACTATTGACACGCTTGACATGGCCGCTTAGAACAAGTACGGTTTTATACTGACTAAAAGGTTTTTTATTAATTAATTCAGTGTATATAAATTAAGAAAATATTATAAAATACATACCTCTTCAAAAAAATTACGAGCCGCAGCACCAAAACTGTGTAAAATTTCGCTTCACAATCTTTGACTCTTCAATGTGTCGTCTGCTATAGAATCAATTTCCGTAGGGAAGTTGCATTGTCTTGTAGGAATCCTTGTCTGATTGGCTGCCAAATATGATCTCATTCTGACGTAAAATGAGAAAACCTGAGCTATTTTTAGGTGACTTGCTCAACGGAAAGACGGTACGCATTTTGACGTCATGGTATTTTCACTAAACAAAACGGGTCAACTTCCCAAGGGTATTCCGTGTCATCAATAAAAATAAAGTTGACATGTTTGGTATCATTAAAAAGTTAATTCTATTGTTAATACAGTATGCAAAATTTAGATGATTTCATTATTATTTGAGGTAGCTTTAGGCAGTGTCTTCTGCAGACAACTTTTTGCCAAAATAACGTTGTCATTCAGTTTGGCGTCACATCATTTGGTAATGCTACTTTAATAGCTCACCAAACGGCATCAGGAACTGCAGTCACGATGATCACATGTATTTGATATTCATGTCCATGAATCCCATTCAATTGTCGCTCCAAAATTTAACGTCAGTTACTACGGCCGTAGTATGCACGGCACCATATACGGTAATAAGATTCCCAGCGTTGATTGGCTGAGAAATGAGGGCGATCTATTGTTAAATATTCGCCGTGAATTTCAAATGGAGTTACGATATTAGTTGTTCTTTGTGTATAGAAAGAAATGGTTATTATAATTATATATAGCCAATAATGAATATAACGACAAATGACTGGCACCATTACTATTTCTGTACTTATACAGAGATGGTTTGGGAAATCAAGTATTATCCAACTTACCGGTAGATGGGCTAATTGTTTGGGTCGTCTTCATCTGTCACGTGGCCTTTTTAAACAAAGGACGCGTAAATGGATCTACGGCATGATAAAGCGTTTTAAATTCACTCGAAAATACTCCAATTCGGTGATTATGATTAGGCCAGTCACGTGTTAATTGGACCGTGATATGTATATCAGAGATATACTGTACAGATAGTGATATATTGTGTATAGATAATGTATATATTATGTGTAGTGCCTGTGACGTCACCAGCCAATCAACCGGATTAAGGTCGTAATTGAAAAATTGAAAAGCTTTTTGGCGTGTCGGATACCTAAACATTAATAGCCAAATTAATTTTAATGAGATTGACGTGAGCTTGCCAGAAAGGGGATACAGTAACTATTGGCTACACGTAGCGAAAAAACTTTTTGGCCATCTTATGTGGTCTTTAAACTTGATATAGATGTTCATTAAGTGAAGGAGCCACGGTGGCTAGGTGGGTAAGGCGCTGGCTCGCTAGCCTGAAGGTCGGGTGTTCGATCCCTGCATTGGCCGAGAAAGTTCATCCCGATTTTCCGACGTGGTTTCCCCTTGTCAGTGATGCAGGACGGAGGGCCTGACAAGGACAGCTGTCTAGTCCTTCGGATGAGACGAAAAACCGAGGTCCCGTGTAAACATTGGAATGCACGTAAAAGATCCCTTGGCAGTTGGAATTCGATATAAGAGTAGGTGATAGTGCCGCTGCCCGGGCAAAATTTCCCTCATAGCACACTGTATGGCGTATGCCCGTCTTTATTAGCCCAGTATAGGAGCAGAACAGTAGGACGTTAAACCCCATTTCATTTCATTTCATTAAGTGAATGTCTTGACTGAGTTCAATGATTAACATTTCGAGCTAAAGCTAAGAAATTTCATTGGTCGATGCTTTGGGACAAGATAACTTTGATTCTATCTGATAGAGTGATGACTGTTACTAAGTGTTAGTGTATAGTTGATAATCAGTTTGATAGCTTGATACTTTTGAAAAAAAATAAATGTGTGATTAATTAATGTGTCATCTATTTATTTTGGGATTTTGGCAGGGGACATGAGCGTCACTGCTGGCTTGTCAGATCTCAAAGCCCGATAAGCAGTTTATTTGCTTGATATAAATGTGCAATTAATTTAAGTTTCAATGACATTTAGTAATTGAACTGATAAAAGACTAGAGAAGCCTTGTAACATCACTCAGTAATAAGCAGTAATTGTATTCCATAGAATTGTGACCTGTGTATTTGAAATTAATTTATATGCCATTGGGATATGGAGGCTGAGGACATTAGCCTCACTGTTGCTTTGTTTAAATTGTTTTCTTTTTTCAATAGCAACCATTGTGGAATCATTTGTTGACATATTATAAAGAACAGAAATGTCTGGTAGAAGGACCATTAAATAATCTAAAGGAGAGTTTGATTCAGTTTAGTAAACCCAGAAAACTAGTCAACACTACTAATCCTGTAAGTTTGATGAATTCATTTAACAAATAGTCTTAAAATGATTATTTTAATTATAGCATCCTAGGAATACCGAAAAATTAGTCTGGTTTCTAATGGTAATTCTAGAAAGGATGTTTTATTCTCGAAATAATCTGAATGTTGTATTTTTAGGGTGGCCGATTCATGAGTAATACCATGTTTGATGCTAGAGAAGTTTTGATTCCTGGTAGTGCTTATGACAGAAGTAAGTCTTCTCTCTCTCTCTCTCTCTCTCTCTCTCTCCTTCACCCTCCCTCCCTACACACACACACACTCCACTCCAAAAGAAAACAGTGGACCAATAAACTAGTTCACCTATCCCAGTCCGTCACACTTTTTCAGACACAGAATTGCTCTGGCGACTCTGCTTCTAATTGAGGTAGAAACTAAATGCAACGGTCATTATATTAATGCCTTTATAAAGTTGGATGATGAGCATTTTTTTCTTTGGCTAAACAGAGATAAGCAATTTCATTGGTGGAGACTTTGGGACATACCGTGCACTCTGTCACATCCGACCTCTGATCATTCCGGCACTCTGTTACATCCGACACCATTTTCATGTCCCGATTTATTTCCTTATTACTTCAGCCAAAAAATCTCTGGGTAATTCGACCTCTGTACATTCCGGATTACGACATCAATCAGCCGTCCCATCATACGATTTCCATTGAATCGACACCGTATAATGCGGCCTTCAATCGGTGGGTGTGAAGCAAACACTTACCGATCAATTATCTGTGAGATTAAAACTGGATGGGTGTGAAGCCACAAAAGATTAATAAGCAATCACCAATCAGATATCTGTTAGATTAAAATTAGCTACCGTGGGTCTTTGTTGATTACTTTGATAATTTTAATCTCTTGTACGACAGTTGTGACTCAAGAATATCCACAAATTTTTCCCAGAATTCACAGTCCTAAAAATATTCCTAGCACCTGTTGGAAACATTCGTTGCGCATGCCGATTAAACCTGAATAACCTATAAGTTTGGTCACCCTACGGATCTCTTCGAACCGTGTGAAGACGACCTGGGATGCTCGAGTCAGTCACATAATCAATGAACACATGATAGCAAATACATGAGTGCGATCAACTGAAGACGGCAAAGAAGATAAATTAACGACAGACTTGACCTATTTAAAATGCCTACGCATGTTAAATGAAATAAAAATTAATGTAATAAAAAAATTTATTTAAAGGGAATAACATTCTGGAAGCTACATTATAATAATACTTCCGGTTTTCGAAGTTACAATATTTCTGGTATTGAGAAAACTGGGTATTCCAACACTCTGCGTAATCCGACATATTGACATTGTAACGATCCCGTACAATGTCGGATGTGACAGAGTGCACTGTAATATGTTCTGATTGAGGTAGAATGTGCAAACTTAGTATAGATGTTCATTAGGAGAATATCTTGAATGATTGATATCTGTGTAAAGTATTTTCTGCTTAGGCTAAACAGCTATCTCTGTATCTCTATCAGTCACACCTTTTAGAACGCAAAAACTCCGCTGCTTGTGAGCATGCGATGTTCAGCCTTGGTTGTAGATGTTCATTAGGTGGAAGTCTTGACTGCCTAATGGCTAAACAACATGGCTCGAAATGTTCGCCTGTCTACTTGTTGCCGACAGGCGATTTTTTCGTCTGACAGGTAGCAAATAAAACTGCCTGTCGCTTGCGACAGGTGGACTAAATTTTACTTGGATGTTCAGTAAATTAACCACAATACTCACCTCCACGTCACGTACATTTAATTATTTGTTTCTAAATGCAAGAATTAAGGACGGAAATACAGTGAAAAGCCGCCATTTGCACTGTTTACATTTCGCTCTGTCGTAGGCTACAGTTACTCACACAGTTTGGAAGTAGACAATTTTATATCAATGAATTTTACACCATCTACGCTTGTTTTCATCTGCTTGACACTAGTTTATAGCATTATGGAGTATTATATCTAAATAAATTAAAACACACCCCCAAGTCACCTGAAATAATTCTACCGTAACGACACCACAGTAAATATAGTAGTGGTTGGAATGGAAATGCATGCGGCTCGTTGCTTGGTTGATTTAATCATTTAAAAAGTTTTAAACAATTTCCATAATTAAAGGCTATGAATAATTTATAAGACAATTTGACAAAATCAAAAAATCAGGTCGGAAAAATATTTCATATATAAATATAATTTGCAGCGTAAATATAGTCCGGATATGTGAGAAAGGAATCCCAGGTGGCGTTATCTGTCCTTCGCACGCGGTAGATGTAAATACGGTGCCATGCACAGGTGTGATTTGTGTTTTGATATTCAATTTATTACGGATATTTTAAAATCTGAATTCTACAACTCAACGGTGAAGTATTCGATTTAGTACGGAAGTGTGGTACCATGATACTTTGCGGAATTCATGTGGATACGGATGATAGAATTGTACGAATCTTCGAGTCGCTGAGCCAAAGCAGATTCGCCGACTTTCAAGAACTTTTAGGCAATCCGATGTCGAAGAAATAAAAAGGTTTCATATTATGATATTTATATAGATCAATGTACGTGCGTGTGTACCTACATGTATGGATAATGTGTGATGTGATTAGTCTTTGAGTTTGATAATTGAGAGCGACAGGTTATTTACTGAAGCGACAGGTATGAAGAAAAGCTACCTGTCGCTTGCGACAGGTAGCTTTTTTTTAAACATTTCGAGGCCTGAACAAAGATCAGCAATTTGATTGGTCGAGACTTTAGAACACAATAACTTCCTAATTGACAGGAAGTGATGAAACTTGGTGCATAGTTTGACTACGTCAATACCAGGTAAGTTCGATAATGAGCATTGAGTGCTTTATAAAAAGATAAGTGTGGAAGTAAATGAATAAGTGTCATCTATTTAATTTGAGATGGGTGCGGTGAAACTTGAGATGGTTTACCAAAGATACACTTTTATTTTACCAATAGCAAATTAAATAGTAATGTGTTGGTTACAACATTGCCATATAGCCGAATATGTAATTGACCAAAAAATTAAACATTGAATTTTTTTATACGCCCACATTTTCATGTGGACGTATATTGTTGTCGCTCCTGTCCATCCGGATACAATTTGTTTCTGGACTCTTTACAGGTCACAATTTTTATCCAATTTTGACGAAACAGGAAATATGTTTTATCTCCCAAAGATCTTGGTTCCTTTCGAAATTGACAAGTATTGGAACGTAACTTCATGGATTATGACCCCAGATTGTACGAAAAGTCACGTTTGTAGCTTGTGACACTCTAGAGGTCACAATTTTTATACGCCCACATTTTCATGTGGACGTATATTGTCGTCGCCCCTGTCCGTCCGTCCGTCCACAATTGTTTGTGAACAGTCTACAGGTCACAATTTTTATCCGATTTCAATGAAACTTGAAGTATAGGTTTATCACCCTAAGATCTCGGTTCCTTTCGATATTGGCATGTATCGGACTGTAACTTCATGGATTATGGCCCCTGATTGTACGAAAAATCACGTTTTTAGCTTGTGAACACTGTAGAGGTCACAATTTTTATCCAATTTGGTTCAAACTTGAAATGTATGCTTATAACCCAAAGATCTCGGTTCCTTTCGATATTCGCACATATCGGAACGTAACTTCCTGAATTATGGCCCCTGATTGTACGAAAAAGTTGCGTTTTTAGCTTGTGGACCCTATAGAGGTCATATTTTTAACCGATTTAAAAAACAGTATTAGTATATCACCGTTACACCCTAAGGACGACTGAGTTCGAATTTCGTGATAATCGGCCCAAAACTGACAGACAAAATGGCCGCCCTTAGTTCTCAAATAGCGTAAAAATATGTTCTCAAATAGCTTAAAAATATGGTATATCAAGGTTGTGGACCCTATAGAGGGTTGAAACTTGAAATGTAACTTTATAACCCAAAGATCTCGGTTCCTTTCAATATTTGCCCATATCGGACCGTAACTTCCTGAATTATGGCCCCTGATTGTACGAAAAATCATGTTTTTAGCTTGTGGACCCATTAGAGGTCATAATTTTTATCCGATTTAAAAAAACGTATTATTATATTACCGTTCCACCCTAAGGACAGTTGAGTTTGAATTTTGTGAAAATCACCCCAAAATTGACAGACAAAATGGCCGCCGTTCGTTCTCAAATTGCGTAAAAATATGGTATATCAAGGTTGTGGACCCTATAGAGGTCACAATTTTTATCCAATTTGGTTGAAACTTGAAATGTAAGTTTATAACCCAAAGATTTTGGTTCCTTTCGATATTTGCGCATATCGAATTGTAATTTCCTGAATTATTGCCCTTGATTGTAGGAAAAATAACTTTCTTTTTAGTTTGTTCTCTATCCATCTCTCGAAAATGTGGGCGTATTCTGCCTGGCAGCCGCTGGTCTTTCGGTTTGTCGTCTATAGGCCGCATTTCTTAATCGATCGTCTTGAAAAAATTTCATATGATTTCCTTGTACCCTAAGGATGATCCCTATTGTTTTTGGTGCATGCCTGACCCCCAGTGGCAGAGCCACGCCCATTACTTGTATTTATTTGTTGTAATCTACAGACTGCATTTCTTAATGTATCACCTTGAAACTTGCATACTTATTCCTTCTATCCTAAGGAACATCCCTATCGTTTGTGGTAAATGCCCATCCCCCAGGGACAGAGCCACGCACATTTTCTGCTCAATTTAACGGTCATTAACCCGTTTCTTAGTGATCATAGTGCTGTGCATTTCAGCTTATCGTTCTCGCTTAAGAAATCAGATTCAACTCAAAAAGTAGTCAAATACAGAAATTATAAAAAGATAGAACAAACTGAACTTTCCAAGAATATATTGTCCAGTAAATCTATAACTCAGAATTGAAAACCATTATTGACAACCTTGCTCCAGAGGTTCACCACAAGATCTCTTTTAAACCGAACTGTCCTTGGTTTGACGGATCAATCGCAGATGCCAGACAAGTCTGGAGAAAGGCAGAGAAGAGATACGTCAAAACAAAGCTAGAGATAGACAAGCAGATGTTTAAAGAAGAGTGCAAAAAGGTCACAGATCTAGTCATATCAAGAAAGAGGGACTATACAAACAAAAAGTGCTAGATTGTGGTACAAATTACAAGAAACTATTCGTAGTGACAAACATGCTTTTGAACCGACAAAAATCAGACAAGTCTCTTCCCACTTATACCTCAA